ATCCGTTAAGCACAGTAGCCACGCAGGTTTGCTTTTGAGACCGCGCAAATAATTTTGATTTCCACTCAGTGTCATCTGATAACGTACCCCTACAACATTTGATATCGCAGAAAGACTTTCGAAAATGGAAGGTGAATGTTATTGCCAGCCGTTCGCCATTACCCCACCCCCTGCCGGTTTTCGAAACTAACATCTCGGTCATTTCTGCTCCGCTATTTAAGCCCACGGCCGCCCAACCGTCAGTCATTCTGTCTGCAACCATGCCTGAAGATCCCACTTCCCAGCCCAAAACCGTCACTTTGAAGCTCTACATGAATCGTGCCCCACGACTCACTATCACCTACAATGACAAGCATGATCTATTCGAAAAATTCAAGAAGAGGACGCAGGAACTTGGCATCCCTGCTCGGACGACCGTGTTTTGGATCGATGATGATGGCGAGCCGGTGAGAAATGGACAACGCCAACATCTTGATGGGAGCTGCCCAGGACTCATCGACCCTTCGTCTTTACGCCTGCGATAGTGACGACGAGGAGTTTCCTGCTCTAGCTGTGATGACTCGCTTCGGCCGGAGCGACATGGGAATCGACACTGGTAGACACCGCTCTCAGCATAACATCGATCTATTCCTAGACCCAGCTATGCAGAAGCCGGAACCATTCTCGTGGCGGGCGATCTTGCTCGGCAGAACGCTCCAGAAGTCGTGACCATTCCTGTCGACGCCCTCAGCGTCATTTTACCTGTCCTTATTCTGAGTATGCTAGCTCTGATTCTTCTATGACGGACCCATGCTACGTAAACTGGCCACCTTTCGGCCGCTATGCTTCGCGGCACGCCTCGGCCATACCGGTGGTGGTTCCGGCAGTTGCGCGTGTTCCGGCAGTCGCGTGGTTTTCGGCAGTCGCGGAGGTTTCGGCAATCGCGGAGGCCGAGGTGGTGGTCACGGTCGTGGCTTCCATTGGCCTTGAATGATTCATTCCCTTTTCAACGCTCATGTTCGATGTATACGGTAATATAGTTGGTCGCTGTAACAGTCTTTAATCCTAGTTTTGATTCCTCCTGATGTCCGATCAGTTGTCATATCGCAGTTTGTCGTTTGTATAACCCATTATGTTGATATTCTGATGGAAGCAATAAAATTACAAATTTCAATGAAGTACTTAAACTACGGTGAGTGTCAGCATTCTCGGCGGATGCGGCCTGCGTTATACATTGCATCGCAGAGACATAATCGCGACTTTACTAAGATGTTATACGACAATATAATTCGTTCAATGTAGCAGGGGCGGAAGTGGTGTAGTGGCAAGTGGCGCGCTCACCACGCGAGCGGTCCGGGATCAAATCCTGGGTCGTGAGTCGCCCGGGCCAACCAAGCCTTCCATCCCTCCGGGGTCGGTTAATTGGTACCAGACTTGTCTGGGAGGATAAAAAACACTGACTTGAACATCGGCTGGCCCCCGAAAGGGATTTCGCTCCTAAGGCTAAAAAGATCGATTTAACTTTACAGACTAAAAAGTCGATTGGCAAAATGTGACAAATTTATATTCAGGTTCAATTCCTAAACATCTTCTTCTCTCAATTCTTCTGAAAAAGAAGAATGTTATAACAAGTTTCATCGATACCTTCCTAGACTGGCGCGTGTAGATGAATGAACTTATGGATTGGACGTGGAAATTCCTTCTTTGAGCCATTCTATCTCGTCTTGGCATAGTTGTGGGAATACAGGATATGCAAAATAGCTCAAAATATATTCAGTCGTGTAAAAGTAAAGGGATAAGAAAAGCCTTCAAAAACTGATGGGACGAAAAGTTGGCCGCCTATGGAAATGGAAGGTAAAGTATGGTAAAACCGTGCGTGAAATGAAAAAATACGACAGTAGTTGGACTTAAGACCTGTAAATTGCCACTCGTTCCCACGTTGAATTCCACACTTAAAGCAAACAGTCCAGGCAGGGTTTCAACTACTTGGTCATTAGGCGGTCAAAACATGCCCCAGCCCAACTAAAGTTTATAGGAAATGTCTTTAATTTCAAAACCTACCTCTAAAATGCGCTGGAAGGGGTCGAAGTCCTCTTGGAGGGGGCGGATCACCCATAAAGAGGCGGATCGCCCAACATACGCTGTGCAGAGTCCGCGCTTGACTAGCGATCGTTGCGGGACCGCCGCGCTGTATGAGGTCGATTCCATAAGAACGCAATTGAAGCGCTTCAATTTCGATTGCTGGCAAATAGTTATGTATTTGCAAGCATGCAGCTATTTGCCAGCAGTTGCAATTAAAGCGCATGTACTACGGGCAGGTTCGGACAACTCGTCCAACACACGTCTCCCTAAACGGCAGGGCATGTCCCTGTCTAAGCCCCAGTTGGGCGTTTTCTTCACTTTTTCTCTTTACGTTCGACCACTTTTCACCTACAACTTCCATATAGGTGCTTTTGGCCCGCAAATTCGTTCCTGGACTGTTGCTTTAATGTCTTCAACACGGAAGCTGCTGTTCTCCTTTTTGCTACAACAGCTAGAGTCCAAATGCGAGGGACGAGCAGCTGGGGTAGCAAATCAGTGGGTGGGCAGGGTTCACGGACTAATTGATTTTTCTTAGACGGTCTTTACGCAGATAGCAAGAGCACAGAGATTAAGAGAGCGTTGGAATATCCTAAGACCAAGGCCTGGAGAAGAGAGGGACCGGCGAGAGAGCACAGAGGCGGTTTAAAGCTCTGAGTTCAAGAGTCCGTTAACGGGGCGGGTAGGGCGCACGCATAGTCGGTCGTCCGACAGCAACGATCGCAACTGTCTGACTGTCTAACTGCATCTAATCGTCGAATACTCAGGCAAGTCCGACGATCGATACGCATCCAATGCTGTGCGACAGTTACGATCGTTGCTGTCGTCCGACCGACTATGCGTGCGCCCTAGAGGGACGAACGTACAAAGAGAGACGTTACAGTTCGCCCCGCTAGGTCAACTAAGAGCTCGTGCGCGATGGTTAGTCTAAAGTTAGGCTTAGGCTTAATCTTAAGCCTGCTGCGAATCAGAGCTGTTTAAATCAGAGCGATATGCATCCGGCGTCGGAAGGTACTGGGAAGGCTTTGTCAGACCGCTGCGAGCTCGCGCCTTGCCCACAGAAGCGTCACCTTTCGCTTTCATGGGATCCCAATATTTGTTCCAAAGTTTTCATACCCCAATTTCCCACGTCACTTGCCTTTAATCTGCTTTCGAGAAAGAAAAATGGCTTCTGGAGCGATATCCACGTCTGGTAAGTTTAAATACTATAGTACACAATTGCTTATCACGCGCCATGAATGAGAGCGTATCTACAATAATACATTATACGAAGTTATGCGAAAAATAGAAAAGGCATGGCGCTATCAATATAAATGAGAACCGACTCTGACGTTGGAGATTGATATGAGTTCAAAAGCAGTTTCACAATTCAAATCTCGTTTGGAAACAAATACATTACTATTACATTTTACAATTATTTACAATCGTTTTCTTAAAAGATCCAAGCCGATTTCTCACAACTAAAGAAACGCACAGCAGACGGTATCCACAAGATTTTGACATTATTTACCCTACTTTCCCCACTCCTAAAGATTTGAGAGAAGTGAGCGGGCTCCAATCACAAATTGTCCATGATTAGGGATTTAGCTAGAAAGCTGTCTCCGGTGGTATTGCATCCCGTAGAACACGATTATGCATCAGTTCAAAGGCAAACCTGGTGCAAACCCAGTAAACTTGGTGCTATTAGCGCTTCGTGGTGATAGCTTAGCTGCGGAACGACCTGAAAGTGGGAAGGAAAGCAAGAGAAGTCTTTGAGAACGCTGAAACTAAGGCCTTAACCTTCAGTAAGGTCGGATGTGGTACGATGGCGAGAAAGGGCGGTCAAAGAAGACAAAATACGCGAGAGAGCACGTCGTTCGAGAGAGCACGCTGATCTCACCATCTCTCGCGGTGGGTGGGAAGCGTTGGAATCGGGGTCGATGGTTGCAGGCCCGTAAGGATTAGCGCCCTAACCGCGCAATTTTAGCGACGAAGCTGGAGTGATCTAGGTAGGTACGGACCTTGAATTTCCCTCGTGGTATCCCTCCTACTAGTCGGCTAATCCCGGCGCCAACTGTCTCGCCGTTACAGGTTGGACGTGAGAAAGCTTGGCGCCATGGGATCACATGTGTAAGTTTTGTGCAGCACCCGTGGAGCAGATAACAGGCTCTCTCGCAGCAAACTGATAAGGTGATCATGTTCCACGGGTCCCATGATTAGTTTCTCTGTGACAAGTTTCCAGCAAATGTGGTGATCGAAGGTGTTTTGGTGCCTTTGCGACGCAGGCGCCAGGCGCTTTTGCGCTAAAGGAATGGGATATTGCTATCTGTTTATGTTATTTTATTCCGGATATTATTCTTATGAAGCAAACAATATTATTATTGTTCGCATTCTAAGGGTTAAACTACCCTTCGGCAACTTTTCTTGCCAAATCCACAGTAATGGACAAAGTTCGGTAAAACTTCGTTTCAGTTTTTTAGGAAGTGGAGCAGTGAAAGGTGAGTAGTGCCAAACTTTTTATTTCCCCCCCCCTTCTTCTCCGACCCCGCCCACGGTTTGTTTTCTGGAAAGCAGTTTGAAAGTTGTCATGTCGTGAAAATGTGACCTGATTTCTGTTGCTGTTGCCAGCTCAACGATGGACATGGAGGTACTAGAAATGGGTGTCTGGTCGAGACTGAACGTAAGGACGCATGTGTGGTAACGTTTCGAAACGTTCACAGTACTGCTTCAGCACAGGAAAATGCGCCAAGTAGAAACTGTCATAGCAGCTCTGAAATCGCGTCAGCATCTCAATCAGTGCGATGTCAGCCAACGAGATCTGAAAGAGGAATTTCGAAATGCCCTGATTTCTCCGATGAGTCTTTTATTGTTGTTATTGTAAAAGTAACCTTCGATCCAACGAGGTGCTTTTTTCCCTTGAGCTTTTGCTCGTATTCTGCGAGGCATGGCGAGAGGGCATTGTTCTTGAAATTGTTCCAAACCTCACGCTGAAAAATCAAATTTCAAACGTGAAAGTGAACATCTTTCAACATACTATTTTCCTTGCACATTTCTCTCGGCTTCAATTGCCTTATTTTGATTTATTTATTTATTCAACTGTTGTCGTCGTAATTTTCACAGCGATGATATAGTAGGGAACAGGTTACATCTGAAGTGTCATAATTTTACAAAACACAAAATTTAATTAAAGAGGGGCATTGATGCGACTCTCACCGGCTCTGCCTTCTCAACGCTTAACGCTTTTCTCTGCAGAACGGTGAGACTCGGACACGAAACGACGCAGGGGGGCGTGCTGGGACAATAGCGCGTCAGTTGGTAGCGGGGAAGGTCATGCTAAATTGCTGAGGCACATCCTTCGATGCGAACTGCGTGTCGGCCCACACCCTTAGGAGGTCCGCCTGTCTCTTTACTTGGTAAGTTTCAACTTCTTCGATCCTTGTCCATATTCGTGGGAACTTTTTTTGAAGCGCTGAGATTATCGGTTTGAAAAAGCAGCCCCATTAAGTCAGGATGCCGTGATGGCTAGATCACCGCGCCAGCTGCCGCAGCCCGCGATCCGACATCGGCAGTGGCTAGAATTCAGGGTTCTAGCATAGGGAACGTCTCCCCCCCCCCATAGGCAATAGATGAAGTTCCCCACTTAATAAAAGGAGATGATCACGTGCCCCTTAACAATGACAGGAGCCTTGCCTTTGCCATTATTTACAAACTTATTCTTTCAAACTAATGGTATTGCTTTCCTCACGGTTCCACAGCGTTTTGGAGGCAGTTGATTAATAAAGAAGTCTCATTATGTTCAAAAGGACAACGTTTACATGGCACAAGCTCTGTCCAGTGAGGCTTAAATAATTGCGGAGATCTTAAGGTGACTCTTGTTGGCTCACTGATGTCTGGAACTTTGGTCTTATCAGTTCTAACCCATGAGTTGCAGTTAGCAACCCCCCCCCCCCCCCCCCCCCCCCCCCCCCCCCCCCTAATTTATGGACAAAGAACCTAACCAAGGCCCATAACAAAATTCGCGCACCATCTGATCGCGTGAGCGGACCGAAAAAAAGGCCGAACAACGAGGAATGTCCTATTTTATTTATTATTATGTCTTTAAAGTGAGATTTCATATTCATTTGGCCAACTGGCTTGAAATGGTCGCCGAGCCCTTCATTTTCGAAATTCTGTTTTTTTACTGCTCAGTCGATCACCTAGCACCGAGCGTATTTTCGAATGAGTTTCGAAAGCAGCGAGCAAGAATCACTGGCGCCCGGTTGTCCATTGCTCCGCCCCTCTGATTTTCGAAACAAACATCGCGACCAATTCCGATTTTCGAAACAAAGATCTCGACCATTGTGGAGCGCCATTTAAGCGGCGCGCCGTCCAAATGCCAGTCATTCTGTCTGCAACCATGCCTGAAGATCCCACTTCCCAGCCCAAGACCATCACTCTGAAGCTCTATATGAATCGTGCTCCACGGCTCACTGTCACTTATAAGGACAAGCACGAACTATTCGAAATATTCAAGAAGAAGACGCAAGAACTAGGCATTCCGCCTGAAACCGTTTTCTGGATTGAAGATGAAGGAGTGCCGATAAGGTTGAACAACGCCAATACCCTGATGGGAGCTGCCCAGGGATCATCGACGCTTCGTCTTTACGCCTGCGATACTGAAGACGAGGAGATTTCCTGCTCTAGCTGTGATGAGCTCGCTGTCGGTAGACGACCATGGAAGCGACATGGTAGACACCGCTCTCGCAGTCACTCCAGACGCAGAAGCCGTAATCGATCTCGTTCAAGAGACCGCTCCAGGAGCCGTGACCATTCTCGGGGTGGTCGATCTCGTTCTAGAGATCGTTCCACTAGTCGCGAGCGCTTCCGTGGACGTCACCTTCGCCATTTACGATCTCTTCATAGACATCGCCCCTTTCCAGGACTCGGTCCTTTCGATTACCGCATGATGGACCCCCGCTTCGGACGTTGTCCACCCTTCTGTGGTGACGGTCGCCGCGTTGGTGGACGTCATGGTTTCCATTGGCCGTGATTGCTCTATTTGTCTGCTATAAGGGATCCATCAGTGCGCTGTGAGTTAGTATTTCGATGCGATCTCTTTTGGTTATTCTATGTAGTAAAAGATTCTTGTCGTGTCGTGATTATTTGTTTATGTATTTATGAAGTAAATAAAAATGTCAACAATTGGTGTTCTGTTGTGTATTTGATAAATGCAGTGACCCACAATTTTACGAACACATTGCACGGGTAAAATTGAATGTGAAAGAAATTAAAAATCAAGAGCTGAATGCGCCACGCTCTCGACTCCATTTCACTATCGCATAGACAATCACATATGTAGAAAGGTTTGCGAAGGGTCTACAGAAAGGGTACACCTGCACTGCACGCGAAGTTAAAGTCACAGTGAAGTAAAAACAACTAGCCTCATAAGTCAGTAAATGAAAGGTAAGCCCTGAACATGAAAGGTCTTTGAAGGTTTCGATTTCTCGGCTTGTGGTAAAGATTTGATTGTTCGACTTCACGTTGACTTTCACTGCTGCACTTCACGTACAGAGAAAGTGGTACTTAAAGGCAAGAATCAGGATTAAATTGATGGGTTGATTCCACTCAAATGTGAAAGTAGGGATGGGAGGTGGACCGCCAGTGGAGAAAAAAGGAAAGAAAATCCTGAAATACACAGGATTTTGCTCTATGCTGTGGAGAAGTTCAAAAGACAGGCAGGGAGATGAGAGATAATGTGAGCGCGGAGAGTGGTAGAGAAGTCCGAGAAGAGAGAGCATAGCAGGCAGACGATATCAAACGGTGGGCGGACCATGTTGAGGTTTGGTGGAGTCTGTTAGAAGTTTAGGCGCCCTAGGGTCCTAGTGACGCGTTTCGATGTAGAAAGGTGGCGCTACCTTTGCCCTCCGGCGCCGCCGCGTACCTTTGCACTTAGCGTGCCCAAGCACTTCTAAGCCCACGGTAAGGGCTCAAAATAGGTGAGTTGGAGCCCGAATTTTGCCTTTCAACACAACAACGCCAGTCCAATGTGATGGACGCCCAGCGTTGATAATGAAATTGCGGCTGCCGAGTGGCTGATGGTGACAACAAAGAACTAAAATAAAGCGCCGGTGAAGCCATTGCCATGTCCTCTGTTGCTCCTTGGAATAAAGAGGGTTAAAAGGCCGGAAGAGATGCACCAAGAACTTGCTAGCTGCTAAATGGCTAACTAACCGTAAGGGTGTCCCCCAACAGGCCCACCGCGCGGCGAAGCAAGAGACGCAGACGCGGCAAAGGGACGAGTCGCAGCGCATACTGTAGCGGTTAGGCGTCAGGTTAAAGAGAGTGTACCACACTACGTCTCATATCGCACAGCACGCGCTGCAACTCGTCTCTTTGCCGCATCTGCGTCTCTTGCTTCGCCGCGCGGTGGGCTGTTGGGGGACCACCCCAATTTTTACACAGTCCCACATCCGAATGCACTTTGATAAGGCACGTATCGCTATTGGTTGGAGGCACAACTTTCGAGCCGCTACATCGGCATGTTAGTGACACGCGTGGCTATGCCACTGGGTGCCGACAGGAGGTCCGTCGCGCGGCAAGAAATCAGAGTTCGAGTCGTAGCGCGTACTGCAGTGATTGCGCGTCAAGTTAAACAAAATGTACCATTGTGCGTCCTACATTGCAAAGCACGCGGGTTCTTCACATGTGACCAGTGATTTGACCAAGATATTTTGCCTTTCTGTCACTGTTTCGCTTCTTTAGAAAAGAATGGAGGGTATCGTTACGATTTGATTCGCAACCCCGGTTTTGGTTCCGTAGCCGATGAGGACGCAATATGATGCTGCCAAAGTTATTCCTCTATATAGACCATATTTAAAGCAACAGTCCCAGCAGGGTGGGTGGTTGGAAACGGCTGCAATCCCCTCGGCCGATTCCCACTTCGGAGCTGTTCAGCCCCTAGTCAAGAACGTAAGAAGTGTGACTGAACAAAAACTCACCTTGGAAAGCCGCTAGGCAGGGAGCTGAAGTGGGCGTGGTCGGAATCGGCCGAGGGGATT